CAAGGACTCCACAGACTTGAACCAGTTTGTAATAATCATTTTATCAAACTCTCTTTCTATAATTATTCATAGTACTATTGTGGTAGAGACCCTTATAGACAGAGAGGTGGAGAGCTAACTAGCAAGTAACTGAAAAGAAACACTGGACTCCCCAAAGGTGTAAAGATGCTGCTGAAGTCTCCAAGGGTCAGAGTTAATAATTCAGGGCCTAAGCAGTCCAAACTAAGAACTCAAAATACATTCCAGGTAAAATGCCTAACCAAGGAAGTAAACTGTTCTAGCAGTGGCAGTTTGAAGCTTGCTCTCCTGCTTTCTCACCAATGGTCTCAATAAGCCTTCCAGCCTCAATTGTGGAAATATAAGCAGCTCTTGTGTACTTGCGTTTATTCATGTAGTCTCTGACACCTTTTCTTCCTTGCTGAGAAAGAGTTTCCAAGTAAAGGAAATCACTCTCTTCTCTGCTGGGCAATGAGTTGAGTCAAGGCCAGAAAGTGTAGAAGCGTGGTGGACTTTGTTTGTTAAGGGTAATCCAGCAGGTTCTTTCTCTCTAGGTTTCTCTTGGTTAACTGCTAACTCTCTCGACCTTCTTCTCCAATCTCCACACCAACCCCTTTATTAGAGCAGTCTTTATGCCTAGCAAGCAGAGTCTGTAAACATTCATACCCTGCTGCTGTGTCCTGTTCACAAGGAGGCTGGTGTTTTCCCTTTGCCACAACTATCTTTTAACATTTACACAGAAACCCATTTTACCTTTTTTCTTCTTTCATTAGCATCTCCTTCAAATTAGAAATTTCAATCTGGAATCCATCAATAACAGATGTATGCAGAACTCTAGTTTCTTCAAGTTCTCTTATAATCAATTCCTTTTGTTCAGTGACTTCAGCTAATGTTTTTACTATAATTTGCAACTCAGTTTCTAAATTCTTACAAGTATTCTAAAAAGAATAAAAATAAATTACATTTATCCAACTTACATATAAGGGTAAGCTTTTACAATTAAAATTCTATTAAATGAAAATATTCATAATAATTTAAACCACATCCTAGATTTCTCATTTATATTCAGTCTTATTGGACTCAAACTATCGTGAAGTCCTACCTTTGTATCTTTCAAAGAATGTATAGTATTTTCCAGTTCTATCAATGAATTTTGTTGTTTGCTTTCTGCTTTTTTTAATATCTCATCTTGTTGTTCTGAATTTTAAATATTAAAAATAAAATATTTTCAGGAAAGTTTACAGGCACAGAATTAATTATACTTTATATCATTTATACAGAAAAAAATTGTATGTTTTTAATTAAATAAGCAGTATTCGTCAACATGGTACACCAATTATACTGAGTAACCAAATGTATCTCTCATGATCTTTGCCTAAACCTTCCTTAAATGCCAACCAGAGCTATATCTATCCTATCCTATCCTATCCTATCCTATCCTATCCTATCCTATCCTTTTTTTTTTCCTGAAAAAAGCTTTCTTTAAAAAGCAATAATTGTTAACCTTTTTAATCAGTGGTAAGCAAGCAGCAAAGTTTGGCCTGCAGTTCTTTGCTTTCTTGCTTCCTCTTGCCCAAAGCTTTTTTAGATTTAAAGCATTCTTCAAAAAAAGGACAGCTTCAGTCTAGGACACTGCTGCTTGCCAGGCAACTGACACTAAAAAAAAAAAAGGAGAAGGAGAAGGAGAAGAGAAGCTGCTGGAGTTATTTTAGAAAGAAAGATTGTGATCTTGTGATAGCAACAGAAGTAAGAAAAATAATTAAAAATAGAGGCTGAGAAAGCCAATGAAGTGACTTTTGGAAGCTGAACTATATGTGCATGTAAGCAGGAATCTAACTTAAGATAAGTGAGGCAAGATTTGTAATGGTAACAGAAAAGAAATGCAAAGAGCACAGGTTCTATGCATTTGTGACAGGGAAGGAAGGCAAAAGGAAGTGACCTCAGATTAGCAACTTTTATACCAAGAAGAAAGTGTTATAGATGGAGAGAAGACACAGAATAAATATTTAACTTTTTCTCTACACCTTATTGCCCCCTTGTGGACAGTAGGTCATGAATGCTGAAGAGTCAGCACCGTTAGATTTGGATCTCCATTAATTACAAGCCAAGTGGAAGGAAGAGAAAGAAGACTGCTTTCTTATTCCACCCAACTGATTTTCCCAAGCTAATAGAGAAGATAGAATTGGAGAAGTATCACCAAAAACAAAAAGAGAAGACAGAAAAACCAAGCAGAGGAAGAAAAATAAAGCAAAATATATTAGAACCCCTTGTGATTCTGTGCCTATTTCAAGTTGCCTTTTTCTTTCTTACAGTTGTTAAATATAATTCTGCATCTTTGCAGATGCCTAATGAAGATTGTTTTACAATTGCAGTTGAGCCACCAATAAAATCCACTGGTATTTCAGAAGTGGAGAAGAGTCTAGTGAATTCATGTAAGTATAATTTTATTGAAAGTTTATAAACAAAGATAAAAACTAATACAAACTAATATAGAGTAAGGGAGAAAGAAGAAAAAGAAATCAAAGAACTAAGAGTGCAAGAAAGAAAAAAAGTAAAAGAAATATAGAAATAAAAAGAAAAAAGGTACAAAGAAGTGGCTTCTGATCTTTACAGCAATTATAAGTACAGGAATCTAGTGAACTCAGAGGTTTTTCTTTTAAAACTTTGGGAACCACATACAGTATGCAGCTCTGCAGAAAAGTAGGTTTAAAAAAACATTGTTTTCTTCCCTCAATTCTTCCTCATATGAGCTTAAAAAACAAGTGAGGAAAAGATACTTCTACTGTTCTAAAACCATTATCATTACTAAGATTTCCAGTATCACTAGATGTTGCTAGATTAGAGGGAAATGCTTTGTAGTGCAGGGAAACTGCTTTCACTAAAGTGAATTAAATGGTTCAGATATAACCAATACAGGGGGAAATGGTGCAATAGTGGGGGAATGTGTTTGCCAAGGCATCACAGTGCTTAGAGAAAGCATGATTATACATTGGCTGAGAAATGAGGTGAAGGAGGAAGAAACAAAACAAAGAAGAAACAGAACCAAGAGGAATGGAGGAGACAAATCAGATGAAAAACAGATATATACATGTACACAGAGAGTCAAAAGGAGGAGTCTTCTAACAATGTATGACTGACAGTATCATTACTAATTAATAGTAATGATAAATTACTAAATTTGAGTCACCCAGAGTCACCCGTTGGGGGGAGATAGGCGTCATACAAATTTAAAATAAAATAAATAAATAAATGAAATAAATGAAATGAATGAATGAATGAATGAATGAATGAAATAAATAAATAAATAAATAAATAAATAAAATAGTATTACCCAGAACATTTTTCTCAGATTCCAAATGTATGCACTGGCCTGAAAAACCAGTCTGCATATAAACACAGCATAAACACTGCACTGCTTGCCTTTACTCCTTAAAAATAACCGTACACACTACCCAGGTGTTCAACTAATTGTAGTTCTAAGGACAACATCTAGTTTTATGTAATAATAAAGACAACTAGGATAGCAATAAAAATACTTACTTCTTATTTCTTCAAATTCAAGTATTAACAATCTTGATTCCTGTAACTGACTGCTTATCTGTTTCATTTTGTTATCTTTTTCACCATTTTCTTCTGTCAGTATAGAAATCTAACAAAATGAATAATTGATAAATCATATCTGCAAAATGCTATTTCAGTTTCCTATACTTGTGTTATACACAGTTTGATTTTATATGAGAAGCATTTAAATTAAAATGGAACAGAAGATTTCTGAAGCTATCCCAGAGAAGGATGGAAGAATAGCAAGAGTAGTAGCCCAAGTCTTGTTCCCATACATTTCAAGTCTGCTTTACACTAAATGAGAATTAAACAGCTCACAGCTGGTCTCTCCATGACCCATGGAACTGAGCCCCTCCACATTCAGCAATAAGGAAAAGTTCACTATCCCAGGCTTTTTTTAGCACAACATGGATTTTCATTATGGGAGTTCACAATCTCCCAATGATCTGAATGCAGTGGAGACTAACATGAGAGGAGGGCAGGGGGAAATAAAACTTCAGCTTCAGCTATTCATCCTGATTAAGTGGGAAACCACTTCAATCAGGAGATGCTTTAATATCCACTATCAAACAATTGTGGAGATACTTCAGCATCCACTATCAAACAATTTTGATGCAAGAAGATAAGGCTGTAATCAGCTGGGAAGCAGTTAAGAAAATAAGAATCTTAACTGGGATTATGTGGGATTATAGTATCTGTGTGTGCAAAAGAGAGAGTTTAATTTCACTAGCTAGCTGGTTCCCTGTCCATCATAGTAACTGCAGTCCAAATGAGGAATATTACTGGGGTGGAAAATTTTACTTCTGTTTTCTGAGTTAAAGAGAGGCATGTCTTTCTCCACCCCAAGAAGATGGTGGGGTTTTATTTGTTTGGGTTTTTTGCATGTATACATATATGTACATACATGAATGCAATTTACAACATACTATTCCCAGATTTAATGTGACCTAAAGGATTGTAGAGATTGCTCACCATAGTTTAGTGTTATGTACAAAATCTTGCTACTCCCTTCCTATTCTTGTATCTACTTTCATTCTGAACTAATTATAATTACAGGTAGTCCCTGGGTTAAGAACGCCTGGTTTAAGGATGACCCACAGTTAAGAATGGAGCCTACTGTAGCAAAATTGGAGTTAAATACACAATACTACTTATACAGTATTATACAATAATATTGTTCCAGCTTACATACAAATTCGACTTAAGGACAGACCTTGGGAACAGAACTCATTCTTAAACTGGAGACTACCTGTATTGTGACATCCAACCTGGGAATTTTAAGTGGTTGACTGCCCTTCATTGGATACCTTCCAACAGAGGCTAGAGAATCATCTGTTTGGGATGCTTTAATTTGGATTCCTGAACCAAGCATGGGAGTTGGACTTGATGATCAAAATGGACCCTTGCAAGTCTACAATTCTATAATTTTTAACAAAACATATATTTTAAATTCTGCTAGTCTTCTGTCCAATGTAGGAAGGAGATTTCGATTATTTAACACCAGTTTTCATTCCTCTCAAATTTATTAATAATTTATCTCTTTACTATGTTCTTATCACGACTGATTGTGACTGCCTTCTAGGCCAAAACTTCAAATTTCTGTTAGGGACTTCCATCTACACATTGTTATTTCTATAGGAACCAAATGCCTCTACAAAAGTTTATTCAGTTAGAAAAATAATTTAAAATGTTGATTTATATAATTACTTAGAACTGATATAATTTCCCAAAAATATGTAATCATAAAACAAACCTGCTTTTCCATGGCATTTATCTCTCTCTTGTGTCTTTTTTCAAGCTGTTCTATTTTATCAGCTGCTTCTTTTACTTCAAAAGTAACAATAATGTGCATTATTAACACTTAAATTAGTAATGTAAAACATTTTATCTCTATAGTAAAATCCTTAATTTAAAATGAGAAGATAATTCACATGTTTGTGTATGCTAATCATATCTCATATTGATTTGAGAATCATATCTCATATAGGGTAACCTGCTCCGAAATGTATCACTAGGGTCTTAGAGTGGATAGCATAGCAACACCATTTAAAGATGGCCGCTAATAAAAAGTCATGTCAGGGAACAAGACAGGAGGCTTATACTGATCTAGATAATGATTCAGATACTTATCAAGAGGGCAGGAAACAGGAAGAGTCAACAGGATTCAATGAATCCTGATTGGTAACATTTTACCAGATTTGGTAAAAAAACTAATTAAAGGGAGCCAAATGAAAAAGGGTTGATGGTTAGGTACTCACAAACCTGTGAAGGATATAGGATCCTAGATCCTGGCACACAAACTGTTCAAGTACATGCTGCTTATTTTGATGAAAGGAAAAAATAAAGTAACATGAGGTGTCAGATTTTGTTTCCCACTTCCAAGCAGTAAGCAGACATCATAAGCTTCAAATGAGGTCTTCATTGCACACCTGGAAGTCAACTATATGACAAATCCAGAAAGGGAGACTGAGGCATTACAGCCAGAAAAGCCTGAAAAGGTCAACCAAGGGATTCCACTATGAAGGCTGTCCTACACTGCCAAGAGGGAGAAAGTGGAAGAACCTTGAACATGTAAGAACATCAAAAGGATTTTAGCTACTGAAGGAGCCAAATGGAGAAAAGCTGCAGAAGAGGACACTGAAGCACGAAACCAAACACCAGTATGTGCAAAATGCTCAAGAGGAATCACTGAATTGAAATATTGACCATCAGAAGAGATGCTAGTAGATGCACTCACTAAGCCCAGTCAGAGACTGACAAAGATCCCTTCAAGAAATGAGAGGAATTGTGATATTAGAGGTCTAAATCCAAAGGCTTTAGCTCTTCAGCATCTCATGATCTACTGATCACAAGGGGAGAGCAAAATGTAGATAGAGGGTTAAGGATTTATCTTGTGTCCCTTCTTTGTCTACCTACTCTTTGGGCTTAGTCACACCAACTAATTGCCCCATTGCCAGAATAGACAGGAATCATTTCTAGAATGGACAACATCCTCTATTAACCCCCCCACTCACCATTAAAGCAACCTCAAGATATATTTTTATGTTCCACTTGAAGTATACCTCACCAAGTATGGTGCCCCAAGCATTCCTGTCTCTTTCGACAGCACTCTTCAGTGTGTTGCAGGCTAACCCCAGCAGTTCACTGACTACATGTACAGGAATAATCACCCCTTCAATTGAATCTGCACACACCATACTCTTTAATATCTCTTAAAAGAGATTGTACCATGTTTACAATCACCTGAGGTAGAAGGATTTCAGCCTCAGTTCCCAAGTAGTCCCACTTAAGTTTAAAAAAAAAAAAAGCACAGGGAAAAGTTGGAAGTTCAGGGAAAGAGCAAAAGTAATTACAAGTAATTTCTGCCAGGTTTTTGAACCATCAACCTTCTACTCACAAGGCGAGAGAGAGAGAGAGAGAGAGAGAGAGAGAATTTATATTATATTTTAAAATATTTGTTAGTCAGCCAGAGTCACATTAGAGAGATATAACTATTGTGCTATTATAATACACATGTTAAAAATAGATCTTAAAGACATTAGAAAGAAGCAGGCAGTAGCAAAAGATTTTTTTAAAAAACAAGAAAG